ACCTACTGTCAAAACTCTGCACTCATCAAATTTTATGTAGTTCCATTTATGTTTATGGGTTCTTCTCTCTCTACTTCTCCTTCCTGTCTTTTCGTCTCTCACGTGCACATGCACATCCGCACTGGAAAACCTTCTGGTACATTTTCTGGTCTAAAAGTTACTAGACGAACATCTTTATAATAGCATGGGCAGGATGATTCTTTAATTTCAGTCTCTACAAACTAAATCCTAACACATCCTTTGTTTCTTTTCTCTGATCTCTCTAGCTTACATGCTCGTCGACCAGGAGGTTCATGCTGCAGAGGTACTTTGGATACTTTCTGTGCCATTTTTTCTCACTTTTAATACTTCTTTTTATTCTAGTTATTTACAAATTGTTCATTCAATCAGTTGGAACGCACATTCATTGCTATCAAGCCAGACGGAGTTCAAAGAGGACTGGTAAGTTAACTGTTTGACCTAAGATTGTTCGCTGAAGCATGTGCTATGGCTACCATGACATGTTTTATACCTTTTTTGTGCTAAGCCCTTTTTTTTTTCCCAGATTGCAGAAATCATATCTCGATTTGAGCGGAAAGGTTTTAAACTTGTAGGCATAAAAGTGGTTGTTCCTACAAAGGATTTTGCGCAAAAGCATTATCATGATCTGAAGGAGAGGCCATTCTTTAGCGGCCTCTGTGACTTCCTTAGTTCCGGCCCTGTTATTGCAATGGTTAGTAGGACTATCATACGCTTGAATAGGGCAATATCCTTTCATCTCGCCAATCTCATATTCCTAACAATTGCAGGTTTGGGAAGGAGAGGGTGTGATCAAGTACGGTAGAAAACTTATTGGAGCTACAGACCCCCAAAAATCAGAACCCGGAACTATCAGAGGCGATCTAGCTGTTGTTGTCGGAAGGTAATAGCTTGATCTTGATAACTTTATCGCATTTGTACTTACCTTTTATCTTATATTTAGTTTTCAATCTCTGTATTGTTCACTCCGAGTCTAACTTTGATACCACAATGCCATGCAGAAACATCATCCACGGCAGCGATGGTCCGGAGACTGCCAAGGACGAAATCAACTTGTGGTTTAAACCAAATGAGTTGGTTAGTTACACCAGCAACCAAGAGAAGTGGATCTATGGAGAAAACTAATCAAAGTTTTTGTTTTCCTTGATGTTCCGGCAATGTAGGTCTTCCCCATGAAGCGTGGGGCGAAAGTAAAGATTATTGTTAGAATAAAACCAATTTCAATTGGAGGTGAGTGAAATCATTCGCTGCTGTTTAGTACTCTATTCAATAAAATTCTTCGCTGCTTTCTAATAATAAGCATGATATTTACAACAGTTTTGTATTTTTATTATATTGGTAAGTAACACATTAGCGGGATGGATGAAAATTTTGAAGCTCAATATTGTTTTGATTTTAATTGATAATATTGGCAGGTAACATTTCATTATCATTGTAAATTTAGGTTTCCTTGTCGAAACAAATTTAGGTTTTATGTATTTAATGTTTTTAAAAAATGAAAACTAATATTATGTTTGGACGAGGGAAATAAACTTGGAATTTGGGTAAAAGTTAGAATTGACATGCACAAGTTCCTTGTTTAGATTCATAAACATAGAAATTTAGGAATCCTAGCGTGGAAAAAAAAAACTTGGAATTTGGGACCTTTAATTCCTAAGTTTAAATTCCATGTAAATAGGCGTCATTACCCAATTTCTATGATTGACAGTTTAGAAATAACAAATTCCTTATTCAATTCTATTATTCTTTCACACTATGTTTGGATGAAGAAATTTAAAATTAATAAGGAATTTTAAAATAACGGAAATTGAAATGAGAGAATTTTATTTTCTAGATTTTGTGAAATTTCTTGTTTGATTAACCTAAAAGAACAATAACCAAACAAGAAAATTGACAAATTCTAAAAAAATAAAATCTCGTCATTTTAAAATTTTTTAGTAATTTTAAATTTCTTCCCAAAGTGTAAGAGAAAAGAGAAAAAAGAAAAAAGGCCCAGCAAAGACTTATTTTATTAACATCCCATATATTGTTGATTAAACCCCACATATTTAATACACCTCATATTTGCTTTTTCAATTAAAAATAATCTTAATACACCCCACATATTTTCTCATAATACCCTTACACCACATTCTCATACACCTAATATTTCCTCCATACACCCCACATTTTCTAGGGAACTTTAACGAAAAGTTCCCCGTGCTGTTCACTTTAACGAAAACCATATTTTTACATCAAAAAGTCAATCATGATATTATTCACTTTATCATTTATTTTGTCTTTATCGTTAAAACTCAAAGTTTTCAAATTCTTTTCATTAGTTTTCCTCATTTTCTATACACCCACCCCACATTCTTCAAATCTTATAATACTTATTTTCAATTTTTATAAATTAAATTGACTTGGGATTAAAACCCTAACATTCTCTAAAAAGAGAAGTCTACAATTGAGCTTGAGTTTCATTGGGTCATCACAACCAATCTCCTATTCTCTGTCTCTTAAGCCTTTTGCTAACAAAAAATATTTCTGATAAAAAATGGCAACGGGTAGGAACCTAACAAAGCAAAAGTAAACCTCAAAAGATGAATAAGAACAGACAAGGCGTTTGCTGGGTTGGCCGCCTATGAAATTGGGTAGTATGGAAAGTAAAAACAGGCTTAAATAATTACCGATGTCGTTGAATAATTAAAACAATGAGAAATATGAAAATTTACCTCATTTGAAGCTCTCGAAATATTGATATTGTGTTCCATTTGTTAAATTTTTTCTCAATCAACATGTTGATAGTTTTAATAGTTAGAATTTTATTCAACAATGGAGTGGAGGGTGAGAGGGGTTTTCATAGTTGAAAAAGATAAATAATACGTTAAAAATAATTTGGTGTGTATTTAGAAATTTCTTATTTTCTTTAAACCTCGTAAGTTCAAAATTGTCATTACATAGTGTTGGAATATATTAATATTTTAGGTATTATTTTGTTTGAGTTTTTTTATAAGTTTAGTTTTGATCTAGCCTATTAGCATTTGGGTTAGAGTTAGTTTATTATAAATAGAGTGCTTTGTTATTCATTAGAAATCAAGTTAGTCACAACGTAGTCTTCTAGGGTTTTGTAGCCGTTCCGGCATTCTCGTTAGTTTAATAATATTTCTATTACTTTGTTAGTCTCGTTCATTGTATACTCTGATATTCAACTCATATCAACTCATAATAGATTACATAAGCCACTTAATATTAAATTTTAATGTGAGGTGCATTCAACGGCTACGTGGGTGCTAATAAAAAAAACCCCAGCAAAACATCTCCGCCCAACCAACCGCCGCTTGCCGGCGTCTGTCTGCGACAACAAAGGCCTGCGCCTCTCTGCAAAACAAAGGCCTGCGCCGATTCATATAATTTGGAATTTTCCATCACTTTCTAGGAAAAAGCAGAGGGTTTTTGGAATAGTAGGACAGTTTGATACTGGGTTTGATCTCTTTCTTCATCCCCGCGGAATCGCGTCTCCACTGCCAGTGATGTCTTCTGGTTGCGGAATTGAAGAGCAAGATTTGATAAAGAAACAGAAGAAGGAAGCAAAGACAAAAGAGAGAGTCGAAAAAAAAAAGAAAAAAAAAGAGAGCTTTAGACAAAGCTCTGCAGCAGCAAGCATGGGCTGCTGCTTCTACTTCGACCAGCAAAAAGATGATGAATGCAAGGAGTTGGGATGACGAAGACGAAAACGCAGAGCACCCCGAGACTCTGTCTGGCGAGAAGAAAAGACCGGCAAGTCGTATTACTAAAAGGAGTTACAATCGATATGGATTAGCAATAGTACCATTTAGATTTAGTGGTTGGATTAGCAATCGATATGGCTTATCCACCTCGCTATATTGGGTTTGCCAGTGTAATTATCTTGCTTTGTGCAGTATTATTAACAGCCAAGGCTCAGACGGCCCTGAACTGTGCCACTGTGTTTCAACTTTCACGAGTTCAGCTTTTGTATGTCATTTGTCCGGGGATTGTCTTCTGGACCGTTGAGGCAGTGCTGTGACTCCATCAAGCCTTTGAACGCGATTGCCAGACATGGTGAAGGTGGTCCGAAAATGATCTGCGAATGCATCGCTATAGAGTGCTGGACAAACAAAAGGGTGGAGTCTGAGATGAACCTTGTAGAGTCTGTTGTGAAATCTCTCCGTTCACTTGCGAAAGAAAGTCGTGAAAGGCATCCAGCATTTGTGATTTTTTGGAAGGATTTGGATTGGGAGATAATTCGCAGCCATCAACTGGAGATCAAAGCTCTTGCGCATTTGTCATCTTTGACGGTATTCGGTAGGAGTGACAGCAGCTTTTGCACCCCTACCGAATCCACTGAATATGCGATGTCTGATGTAAACGAAAATCTTTTGGTTTTCCCAAATTTGCAAGAGCGGCAAACCCCAAAAAATCCGCAAGAAGATGAAAAAAGACGCACTCGAACTGGAAAAAGCTATTGCTGATGATAAATTCTCCTGGTTACGAAGAACATCGGAGAAGATTCGACAATGTAATGCAGACAAGCTAAACTCCATGGACAAGGAAATTATGCCTTTGGAAAGGCAGCAGCAATGTGAGGCCTACAACCCTTCTTTCTCTTTGCTTGCTAGCTAAGATTTGATATTTGTAGATATAATTATATTTTTGCGAGTATTATAGTTTGATCTGCTTTTAATACATTCACGTATCTTTTATTTTGCGAGTATTTAATCGGTAATTGTCCACAGAATCAGGAGACACAAAGTTCTTACCATTACAACTTTTCAGTCAAGCAAGAAGCATGGTTAATTTATTATTTACATTGAATTAACAAACTAACCGATGGATTAACGTTGCTGAAATTGCTCGAGTGAATAAATTGCGGTAGATAGTAACTCCATTTTCTACCAGTACTTCCATCAAAACTCAAAAGTACGTACCATTTAGATTGAGTGATTGGAATATACAAATTATAATTTAGTATAGTGATCGATATGGCTCATCCACCTCGCTATATTGGGTTTGCCAGTGTAATTATCTTGCTTTGTGCAATATTATTAGCAGCAAAGGCTCAGACGGCCTTGAACTGTGCGACTGTGTTTCACGAGTTCAGCTTTTGCAAGTCGTTTGCCCCGGGATTGTCTTCTGAACCGTTGAAGCAGTGCTGTGACTCCGTCAAGACTTTGAACACGATTGCCAGACATGATGAAGGTGGTCCACAAATGATCTGCGAATGCATCGAGAACTTGTCTTATTGGAGCAACGTCTCTTTCGACACCTCCCGCATCCAAGATCTTCCAACCAAATGCCAACTCCACTTGAGTTTTCTCATTTCTAATAGCATGGATTGCTTCAGGTAACGTTCATTTCTTTCTTTGTTTCTCCCATACCACATCATTGATCACATTAATCCCGATGCATACATCTCTCCTGTAATTAGGTGTGATCTATATTTGTGTACGTCCATGAGAGAGATGTGATTAGCAGTTAACCCAAGTTTATCCTTTTTTTCTGCAGGATTCACTGAGAGGATTGGTGAGAGAGAGAAAAGGCCGGGGAGTTGCAAATGGTTCAAAGATCCTCCACAACAGCCAACAACAACTACGTCTCAAAGGAGCATCATAACTTCAATTTGTTAAAGAGCCCAAATGCCACGAAATTCTCTTAACTAAAAATATAAAATTAAGTCATTCATCATGTAGCATGCATGATGATGATTTGTTTGGTGGCAACCAACAAACTAACTGATTAACTGTTTCTTGGATTACTAAGAATAATTCAAGCTTAATGTGTTTATCTTTATATCTCTCCAAATATATGTATATATATAGAGCTTGAAATTAGTGAAGAATAGTTTGTGTTCGATGGCTCTCCCGTTGGGTTTTTGTGCGATGACCATTTTTCTCTTAGTTTGTGGATTCGCCAATGCTCAAGCAAGATCGCATATCTACGAGCAAGCTTGGCATGAGTTCAGCAATTGCTTCGGTTTTTCTACGGGGGTAGAATCTGATGTATCGATTGAGTGTTGCACCTCTGTCACGACATTGAACAGGATGGCCAAAAAATTTAAGAATGCACCGAGTGTTATATGCCACTGCATCGAGGACATGGCTTGGGCATATCAAACTCCTTACGTAGCCTCCCGTATCCCAGACATTCCCATTCAATGTAATGAACATCTCAGTTTCCCTATTTCTAACAACATGGATTGCAATAAGTATTACACATTTTGCTAACTTAATCTACTATTTTCTGCCTTGGGAGCAGCCTCTCCATAAATGGGGGTAAGGCTAGCCGACATTCACCTCTCCCAGACCCTGCGTAAAGCGGGAGCCTTGTGCACTGGGTACGACCTTTTAATCTACTATTTTCTGCAGACTCAGCTGATGATTTATGAACAAAAGCATATATTTGAGTGAGCATGTAAACGAATAAGACTAAAACATTACTAACCAGCATATTATGAATAAAAAAGATTGCCTACAAAGTTACAAGAGCTGGTATATGTGAAAATTTCCAAAAGAATGAAGTTTGCCAAAGTCAAGCACGGGTGATTTTGATTTGATGTGGACACCTTTTTACTAGGTTGTTGTGACTTTCGACTCAGCCATCTCGTTCCATACAATCTTCTCTGTTCTTTTTTGTTCTGGTCCTCGTTTTTGTCGGTTATTTCCCCCCATTCTTTTTAGTTCCCTTGGATTTCTCTACTCTCTGTTACCCCCTTTATATCAATCCAAGGGGAGTAGCTAGCGTAGAGAGATCCAACAGATATCGTAGAGGCAGAACGATACAGAATGATAAAGAACGGAGGTTATTATGGTAGGGCAGAACGATAGAGAATGGAGGAAATAAACGAAGGGCTATATAACGCATGGTACTTTAGGAATAACAGGGTGGTAATAGGAAGCCCTCCATGTTTTTTACAAAACCTGTTCATCCCATCCCTATTAGGGATGTTTCATAACACAAGGCATTTTAGGACACCAGCATTCATACCTATTTAGGGCATAGTTGGCGGGAAAGGAGAATTATACTAGTAATAGGCCTCCATATTGAATACCTCAACCGCAAGCTTCAACCTTGTTTGTACCGTACTTGACCAATTCTGAAACTACTGAACACCGGTCAACGTTATACCGTCAAGGACCCAGAAGAGTTTCCCTCCAACCAGGAGGCCAATTACAGCACAACACGTGTTGACATCAGAAGCCAATCATAGCGTGACACGTGTCAACATCAGAAGCCAATCACAACACAACACGTGTCAATGTAAGAATGAAACTAGAAAATCTCTTCTATAAATAGAGATCATTCTCTCACAATATGGCCGAATGTCATTTGTACTAAATCATTCACTAGTACTCACTAAAGGAGAGCTTGAACCTATGTACTTGTGTAAACCCTTCACAATTAATGAGAACTCCTCTACTCCGTGGACGTTGCCAATCTGGGTAAACCACGTACATCTTGTGTTTGCTTCACTATCCCTATTCATTTACATACTTATCCACACTAGTGATCGGAGCAATCTAGCAAAGGTCACAAACTTAACACTTTCTGTTGTACCAAAGTCCTCACTGATTTTGTGCATCAACATTTGGCGTCATATGTGGGAATGACACTTATTCCCACTCTCTTTAGCTTTGTCAAGCTGGTTTCCACCATTCGTACACTCTCTTTTAACCAAGCATCCCTCTCCAACATGAGGAGCGAAGGAAGCCACAACACACAGAATGACACCCCTCTTGCACCTAGTGCAAAGCAACGAAAGAAGGAAGGAAAGAGGGTTGCTCTTCAAGCTAAAGTCGATGAGCTAGAAGCTCAGAACAACAAGATAGCAATGAAGAATGAGGTCCTCCAGGAGCAGTATGAGAAGCTCTTTGAGACGCTCCACGAAATTAGGCGTACACAAACATGTGAGCTTGTTACCCCTGTGGACATCAATCATCACCTGGGTGCCCCCCAACACGGAGGGTCACCTTCCTTCGATATGGGTATCCCTGATGAGGAGCGAGCTAATCATCAAAACATTGATCAACATGAAACTTCTCGCAACCTAGCTGCTTCGACCCGAAGCAGGAGAAGTGGAGGAAGACACCTCCTTGCAAAAGGGTTGGAAGGTTCGAAAGCCATTTATCGTGACTGCCGAGACTTCCTAATGCAACGTCGAGAAAATCCTCTCCAAATATGCTCGAAGATCAATGACCCAAGGGTTTCTGAAAGACTCGGTCTCTTTCCACGACCCAAGCCAGCTGCTAATCTAGGGAAAGAATGACAGGTCCTAGAGGAACATGAAGGTACATGGGACTCTAAGGTATTCCGACAGAATCGCCCTAGAAGTCAGTACGGCGAGTCCAAGGAAAAATCACACGCCCTTGCTCAAACTTTCCTACTTCTAATAGGCGATGGAGACTTACGAAAGAAAATCCCAGTGGTACATGACTCCACTCATGACCCCCTTGTCCTACAGCTCATTGAGGAAGTAAACAAATTAAAGGTCGAACGTCAGGCCGAGATACCTGATTGGAACCAACCCGGGCCTGGCCCTTTCACAAGGAGGATCCTCGACATCCCCCTTCAAGCGAAGACAAAACAAAAGCTTGGTTTACAACTCTATACTGGAAGGGAGGACCCAATTGAACACCTTAACCTCTTTGAGTCCACCATGGCATATCGGATGCACACCGACAAAGAGTGATGTCTTCTCTTTCTCTCCACCCTCTCTAGCGGAGCTCTAAACTGGTATTGCCGTCTTCCACCTGAGATCGTAGACTCATTTGAGGAATTGAGGAAACTGTTTGTTTCTCAACACATCTTCCAGACCGATCGCTTGCATTCTGTAGATGACTTGTACACTATTTGCCAGAAGCCGGACGATACATTACAGGAGTATGCCGGTCATTTCAGCCATAAGTATTCTCACTGCGCTGAGGCAGATGACAAGACCGCTCTTAAAGCCTTCACGGCAGGCCTACGTGATTGTTTCTTCAAGTACATGATCAATGCCAACACTTGGAAGACTTACTCTGAGGTGATGGCACAGGTTTACAACCATGCATCCGCCGAGGCAAGGACATATCAAGGGAAACACCCCACAACCACCCCTTATCAGCAAGTAGGGAGTGGAAGCCAGATCCAACCAAATGAGAAGACCTCGACCTTCCAAACGGCAGCGGTGCCTCCCCCTACCTTACTTAATACTTTTCCAAGTAAACAGACATATCAATCTCAGGGAAAAAGGAAAGATTTCCATCCTCACCAGTCGTATTTTAGTAAAAGGAGTAAGGGACACTACCACGATAACCAAGGGTATCGCCATGATAATCCCTGACCCCAGGCAGTCAACACAGTGGGTCAAGCACGTGTCAGGACAGCCCCTACCCCGAGGTATGAGGCATACACACATTTGAACGCCACAAGCGTGGCCATTTACCCCAGCATAGCACACTTGATACCGAAGCCAAAGCCGAGGTACCCGAATTACAAGCTCACGAAGAACACGGGCACGTTTTGTTACTACCATGAGCATAACGGCCATGACGGCGAGAAGTGTATCACCCTTCGTGATCATATTGAAGCTTTGGCACGTGAAGGAAAAATTGATCAATTCCTCCTTCACCCTCCAAGGGGTAACCATAACCAACGCCAGGTAAATGTGATATATTCCATAAGTGGTGGCACACCCATATCTAAATCTTCCAACAGAGCCATGAAAAATAGTGAACGAGCTTTAAGGTCTGGCCACCAAGTGTTTCACGTGGAAGACATCAGGGGAGGTAAGTATCAAAAGCCTAACTGGGATCCAATATGTTTCTACCCTGAGGAAGAAAGAGGTATCATCTACCCTCATAACGACCCACTGATTGTGAAAGCTCACATAGCTAACTTTGAAGTACGACAAATCCTGGTAGACACGGGGGCTTCAGTCAATATCATGTTTGCTGAAGCTTTCAGGGCACTTAATATAGCTGAACACTTGCTCGACCGCTCGATTTCCCCTCTGATAAGCTTCTCCGGTGATATCGTGCAACCTTTGGGGAGCATACACTTACCTTTCACCATTGGTACAGGCCCTTACACAGCTACCATTACCACTAACTTTCTAGTGGTTGATTGCCCAAAGGCATACAATGTCATCTTCGGATGCACAGGTATCAATGATCTCAAGGCCATGGTATCCACACATATGTTGTTGATGAAATTTCCAACCCCCTATGGCAATGGTTACATAAGAGGAGATCAACTTAGTGCACGATCATGTTACAACACTTCGGTCAAGCAATAGCACCTGTTTGTGCCCAAGGAAACCCTTTTTATACATGACCAAGTCATAAACACCAACCAGACGAAGCTAACTTGGATCTTCACGGTGGCAACAGTCAACCCAACGATCCTTGAGATGACTCTTTCACCCAGCAAGCACAACCCGCTGAAGAGTTTGAGAAGGTTTCTATCTCAAAAGATTATCTGGATCGCATGATGAAGATTGGTTCCACCTTGTCACCACCCATTCGGTTGGCATTGATC